GCAGCGTCAAGACTATTGCGTTTGTGGCAGCATGTGGTGCTACAGTGACTCTCAAAATTGAACGTACACCTTTACTGTACACCTTAAATGATACCATAATTCTCCTTATATGAATATTTATGGAAATAAAGTATGTAATTTTGCTATTTAAGTTTTCCTGGAAGAACTAGTGCATTTGAAAGCAGAAAAGTTCTTTATTAGGTGTAAAATTAAATATTTTGTGTCATACCTACAAATAAACGTTGCACAGAAATGAACGTACACCATCGCAAGCGCGCTTTGGAACGTACCCGTTGAAATGTTTTCTTAAGTACAAAGTTGTGACAAACATATTATTTGATGGTCAGATTTGCGGAGAGCATAATCGAATTGAAAATGGCCTCGAGTAGGGCTACGATGATGGAAGAACGAAGACTTATTGTAAATTCAGACATGAGGGGAAGATCACTACGAGGTATTGCGATGACAATGGGAAGACATCATTCAACTATGGTGAACCAATTTAAGTATAATGGTAAATTAATTAATAAAATAGGCTGAGACAGAGATCTGATAAAACTCGATACTCAACGAACCAGACAAATGAAATATTGTCAATAACATCAGCAGGAATCCTCGCCAGTGAGTCATTAAAATGCCTCCGTGGGTGATTTGAAACACAGGAATAACTGTATCCTCAGAAACTGTCCTAAATTCGCTACGGGACGCAGATTACAACGGGAGAATAGCGAAGAAGAAGCCTTGGATTAATAAGGCATATCTGCACAAAATACTGCAGTTCGCGAAATAGCACCACCCTTCAGAGAACTGGCAAACAGTGATTTTCAGCACTGAAAGTAAATTCAAGATATTTGGTTCAGATGGGCAACAATACATGTGGAGAAAGCCAAACGCAGCATTAGAAGATAAACATTTGCGTGCAATTGTAAAGCACGACGTTGGCTACATAATGGTATGGGGGCTGAATGTATGCGCCAGGTGTCGGAAAACTCCATTTTATTCATTCTACAGTAGACAAAATTAGTTATTTATAAATTTTAGAAAGTAATCTCAAACAGTGTGCAGCTAATCTTGCACTGGGACTGACATTATTTTCAACAGGACAACACGTTCATCCTTACACCGCATATTGTAAAGTTATTGTTCTTATATAAAGTACGAAAGCGCCTTCAAACCTTGCCACAATCACCCTTTCTCAATCATTTTGAGAAATTTCGGCGGAAATTGAAAAAACAGGTGCAGAAACAAAGTTTCGAATAAAAAAAGGGCAACAGAGGGTCCTCTCTGAAGCATGGAAGAAAATCACGCCTGAATTTACCAGGAAGATCAATGCCAGCAAGACTGGAAGTTGTTATTTGGGCTAAAGGTCGTTCCACAAAATTTTGACTTATTATTTTTCGTTTTTCTCGAAGCCAAATTGCCAGTGTACGTTCATTTTTGTAGTGAATTGCATATGCATTAGGAGAATTTTTATATCTTATTTATTATTTTTTCCGTTATTTAAAGTTATTTTTGCAATGTATGAGAGAGAAGGTTTGTAGTAATACTTATATTTATTTTTTACACCACAATTCTGTAAAAAGTATTTTTCTATGCCATTTTATATTTTCTTCTATAGTATACGGTCAATTTTGTGAACCACTGAATGCAGTGAAAAACTCTCCAATGAGTATTAGCCGTCGCAAGTACAAATGTGTATTTTTGTTAAAGTTTGGTAAATTTATATTAATAAAAATGTCAAGAGTATTTTAAGATGTTTATTGCTTTGTTCTTTTAGTACGTGTTTAAATAGGAAGATAATTAACAGTAAGTAATAAGAGAAAATGTCTACCTGTCTATTATTCCATGAATTAAAAGAGATATTACAATGAAAATCTTTAGACATTCATTCCCTATCCATGTTTTAAAATGATGGCTTAAGCCATAACACACCGAGTTCGATTCTTGTATGTTTGAAAATTACCTCTATTAATATAATTCTTCCACAACCTTTTAATATTGTTCTCTTCGATTGTCACTTTGAAATTTCAGTAGAAAAAATTTCAATCCAGATGAGCAAATGGAAAGAATCTATCATTCTGATAGTTAATATTCATGTTTGTTCATACGATCTTTGTGTCAAAAACATGAATTGCCTCTATCCTTCACGGCCACACCTCTTACACTCCTCTTTTCACGAAACAGACTCTACGCCGCGAAGGCCACCTTCCCAAAGGCGACTGTTGCAAGGGTTGCTGCAGGGAATGTTATCCGTTTACTTGAAAATTACATGTCAAAAGTGTAATTTAATTCTCAAATTACATTCGAAATATTAACGAATTATACATCATCTGTTCATCGCATGTTTATCGCCCAAGAAATACCTCTGCTAGTTGATGAAAGGAGCGTACCTAAATTTGCGTAGACAGACGGAAGAGCAGGCCTAATGGCCTGAGTCTCGCCACGCAAAATAAGTCATTAATTCAATTCAATAATTAGTATGTAGCATCTCTTTTCATGATCTATTCATAGCTGATGAGAAAAATATATAGTTTCATTTAAAAATAAACAATGATTCAATTTCTCGGAAAATAAAAATATTATATGCAACTTTTCTACGGCATGTTACTTGTCCCATGATTCCACAATGTTAAGCGAAAACTCCATATCGATACTCTGAACCGTTTAGATGTTATGAGGGTGGTCCATAGTCAGTGGGATACTCAGTACAGTAAGAATGCATGTTATGTAGGTTCTAGTTACCGAAAACTTGGCTTAACGCAAAACGTGTCGGTCTGCCCATCCATGTAACGACGAGGGCTGTTGGCAGGATCGCGGGGGCTAATGCGTCGATAGAAGCGTCAATGTAGAAATCGGTGGCTGAGGAAGGCATATTTGGGAAGACTGCGACAGCATAGCGCTTTGAGCTTGCATAGAAGAGGAAAGATTTAAATACATTCTTTTGAAATATTATATAAATCCATTGGGACATATAGATGTTCCACCCGCTATGGGTTATTTTAGAGAAATTTAATAATCTCTGATTTTTAAATGGAACTATAAAATATTTCCTAACAGCAACGGATAGATCATAGAAAGAAGAATACAATCATGTTTCATAGGGTAGTATTCTCATAGCAATTTGAGTATAAAATTAGATTTTCTAACATGATTATAAACTAAACGGGCAACATTTCCCGTAACAATCCTCGCCAGTGTTGCCTACAAAGGTGGCCTTCGCGACGCCGAGACGGTTACGGAAAGACGTTACAGTGAATTAAAAATCACTTCTCAGAAAGTCTAATATTATAATTAAATCACTATCAAAATATTAACGTATTATATTCCTCTTTCTACGATCTATTCATTGCTTATAGTTCCATTAAAAAATCAAAGATGATTAAATTTCTCGAATAAGAAACATATTACGAATCTTCACAGCTTATTACTTGCCCGACGATTCCGCATTCTTCAGCGAAAACTGCACTTTGATATAGTGAACCGTTTAGAAGTTATGGAGGTGGCACATATCGGGTGGGACACCTTTATATTATCCAAATGGCTTTATATAACATTTCAGAAGTAT